ATTAATATTTTGGCGTGAAACAAAACAGCAGATGCTATACCCGCTTCTCAGGTGAAAGCTTACGTGTCTCCTGTGAAATGTAGTGTGAAGACTGAAGTCCTAAACGTCAGCTTGGCTCAGAGAATTAAGGGAATTTTGCTGTGGAAAGGGGCCTTAGAGGCCATCTTGTCCATCTCTATCATTACACACATGGGGAAACGGAGGCCCCTAGGTCAAGTGCTTTATCATGTGGCTGGTTAGCAGCAGTCAGAACAAGAACACAGGTGGCCTAGCCTCCAGAAAAATGCTGTCCCGATAGGTAGGTAGGTAGGTAGGTAGGTAGGTAGATAGATAGATAGATGATACATACATACAGAGAAAAAAAGACAAAGAATATGTGTTTGTACATGTGTATATTTGTGTCTTCATGTATTAGGTAGAGAGAGGGAAGAGTTTTACATTTCAATTCTAGTATGGCCGGGATTTCTAATGCAGTCGGAAGTGAGGGATCTCAGTCGATCAGGATTAATAAGCACTCTGTTAAGTAGCCTTATTCCTGAGCTCTTTGACCCTTTTCCGTATTCCCCTCAGCCTGTTACATGCCTTCGCAGCCACCTCAGCTCGGCCGCACAGGCACTAAGCGTATCTCCCAGTACCGTGATCCGGAGCGGAAGGTTTGGGCTATCACCAAGCAAGGCTGGTGACTTTCTGCTTCTGCCACTGAATCACAGTATCACTGCAGAGGTCTGAGCTTGCTTCCATAGAATTCCTTTGATGGAAAATTAGGACCCTGTCCCTTGCCTGCCTCGGCATTTTAGCAAGGATCACTGAGATACGATCAATAGAGTTTTCAGGTGGCAGACCCTATAAGCACCTAGTATCTTTGTTTAGCACGATTCATGTTGATGATAATTCTGTGACACAAGTATGGTTGTTAGATCCGTACTGCCACCATTATATCAGTACCATTAATTAGAATTAGAATTTGAGAAACTGAGGAACTATGTGATATTACTTTATCTTTGACCAGGTATTCTTGTATCTTTTCCAAACCAGGGAGAGGCATTTCTCTCTCAATAGTGAGAAATTCTAAAAGCCAGATGAGGTAGCCAGATAATCTGGGGAGTGCATGCAGCCCCCGACTCTGGTCCTGCTTTTCTGACGCCCAAGAGAAAGACATTGGGGTCCAGAGGTCAAAGGCAACTCTAAAAGTCTTTTTCATGTCATGCTTGGGAGTAGAACTTAATCATATTTGGTGAAGCTTTGCTCACAAAGCAGGTGGCCTGAAAACTGTTTCTTTACATTGCAGTGAGAGCCTTTTTTATTCAGAAGAGATCTAAAGACCTTTGACCTATTTTAGAGCTGTCTCTTTGTCTGGAAAACCTCATCCTTTGCCAGCCAAGCCGTTCATCTCAAGTTAGCCTCAGTCACTTGGGGGCTTGCTCCTTGCTTCGATGGGGTTTTATTGTTCTTCCCTTTGAGGTTAATTAGCTCTCATAGGTGTCATTTTAGCTCTCACAGGTGATTGAAAGACACCAGTTTTGAAGTATTCAAAAGGAATCTACATTAAATAATTGAGTATCTTGTCTGTTTTTTGGGAAAATATATGAAAGAAAATGGAAGGGCAAATGGAAGATAATGGGACACACTTCCCCGTGAGTTTTAGGGCCCTAAAAGAATCTAACTCTTTGGAATACCTCCCATATTTTTTGTTTAAAAAAATCGTTTCATCAGTCGCTCACACTGGTCCATATTTGACTTAAAATATCTGAAAAGCCGCAGCCAGCGTGGTCACTTAAATTCCACCGTTACAGACACTGGTGCTCCTCAAATAAACCAGTGTGTTTCAGCACAAAAAGCTTTTCCCAGTTCATGGCGGGGGGCGGGGGGAGGATTTAAATTAATGAATGAGAGTTCAAGATTTTTCTCCTCTAAAGCATCCCGAAGTCTTTGACTTTCTTACACCCCATCAGAGTCTAGTGAAAAATATCATCTTGCGCAACCTAGAATTTTCTGTTCCATCCTTTGAGTTACTTCCAGTATTTTAAGTAAATTTCAGACCCTCTGCTCTGCCACTCAAAAAACACTGAGAACCCCTTGTCATTATAGCACAAAGTGTATTTTGCAGGTTCTCTGAACTGTTTGGTACCTCACCCCCTTGGAAGATTTCAGTTCTCTCAATGAAGACAAATGCATAGGGCGTGAAGCCAGGGTTACTTTTGGTAACATTCTACCACTTCCATACATTTCATCTCTATCTTTTATCGTTTCCTTATTTTTCTCTGTATTTTCCTTCCTCCTCTTTTATAATCTGTACCCTTCATCAGATACTGTGTGCCCATTGTCTGCTAATCCTCACGTCAGCTGTGCTGATAAAGACACAAAGGCTCGTGGATGCTGAGTCGCCCCCCTCCCGCCTCCCCCCAGGTCACAGAGCAGTAAAAGTCCCAGCCGGTTGGTTTAAGTATGCTTCCATTCAGGGCCATAATGGTTCCATTGTGCTGTGCCCTTTCTCTCCCTCTCTCTTCTGCCACACGCTCCCCTTTCCCTTCCTTTTTGTTTTCCTTTTTTAACAGCGGTGAAACACATAACCTAAAATTTACTGCCCTGTTTCGACATATCCACACAGTCAGTGGCGCTGTGAACGTTCATACTGTGCTGCCAGCGCCAACATCCGTCCGTTCACAGGACTCTTCATCTTGTGACACTGAAGCCCCCCCACACTAAACAACCCCCTCGTTCCTACGATCTTGGGGAATTTGACTGCTCTGGGTACCGCCTGTCAGTGGACTCACACAGTGTTTGTTCCCGTGCGAGTGCTTTATCTCACTGAGCGTGACGTGCCGAAGGGCCGCGTGATGTGGCGTGGTCTGCACTTCCCTTCTCTGCAAGGCTGAATGATACTCCGTCGTACGCATCTGCCCCATTTTGTGTACCGTCCGTTGGTCCGCGGACACCTTTAGGCTCCTGTGGGCAGTGCGGCAGCACCCACGGCATACTGCCTTCCCCCTCACCCAGTGCACTGTCCCCCCTTATCTGCCGCCTGTATTTAGGCTTGTCAGGGTCCCCCGCGTTGCATACTCCCACCAATAAGACCTAGAAAATCACCACCAAACTGTATAAGCCAATGGATCGTTTCACTTCGTTTTTCTGGTCATTGTTTTTCCTTTGCTTAACTTTGCCTTTCTTTTCAAGTTTGGTTTTAATACGTATCTAATGCTATTTAATAATATGTCTTCTGTCATGAGCTCTGGTGTCTGTGTATTTCTGTTGTTGGTTTCGCTGGGAGAGAACTCTTTGAACCGTAAGAGGAATCCTGTCGAAGAGTCAAGCAGCCCATGTTTATGGAATGCAACCTGTTAGGCTCGTGCATGAGACGGTGCGTGAGACAGTGTGTCGATTCTCCACTTTAAGGAACTTTGAACTCGCAACTGTTCTTTAGTTTATCATTTACTTTAAATAACTTAGAAACGTTATGGTCCAGTGAATGCAATATGTCAGGGATGAATGTGCCTCTCACCACCCCACCATCACCGCCACCCCACAAGGACATTTGGCAATGACTGGGGACACTTTGTTCTCACGACTGGAGGGAGAGTGCTACTGGCATCTAGTGGGGAGAGGCCAGAGAGGCTGCCAAGCATATGCAGAGCACAGGGCAGCGACCAGCAACAAGTTACCTGGCCCCAAATGTCAGTGCCAAGGTTGAGAACCCCTGCAATATGGAATATTACCTAACTGAATATCGATTAATCCCCTAATAATGAGCATAAAAAGTCACATAGTTTTCCTAAGGAAAACTTCCTTATGATAATGCAGTAACTTGAAATCAAGCTAGCCTTGTCTAGCTTATGATTTTAATTATTTGCTAAGCCCCCCCTATAAAATTTCAAATGCTTGCATGGAATTTTAATATCTAAAGAAAATTTCCTAGTAAAAAATTCACTTTAATTTTTTTTAATGTTTTATTTATTTCTGAGAGAGAGAAAGAGACAGTGTGAGTAGGGGAGGGTTAGAGAGAGAGGGAGACACAGAATCTGAAACAGGCTCCAGGCTCTGAGCCATCAGCACAGAGCCTGACGCGGGGCTCAAACCCACGAACCGTGAGGTCATGACCTAAGCTGAAGTCGGACGCTTAACCAACTGAGCTACCCAGGTGCCCCAAAAATTCACTTTAAAAATGTAACTTAGCATGTAACAAATTGGCAACAAATACCTATTTCATAAAGGGAAGAACATTCACACGACTAATAAACTTTCTTCGGTTGAAAGGCATTGTGTAATTGCCCCTGCATACTTCTGTCTTGATTGCTTTATTTAGACCAGCACTATGTTTAGGCCTTGGCTTCTATACACATATTTTATGAAGTAATGCTGGAGGCCCGGAAGAATGTTTTGCAGCATTGATTTAAAATATTCCATGGATAACCCACTTGCATTGCAAATGACATTAAAAATACAAACAAAATTCATTCCCAGTCTGCCCTTCCATAAAATGGAACTTCTTCCATGAAATGGAGCTTTAACCAATGCAAAGGGTTGAGAAAATCATTTGAAGACTCACTGGCGCCCTTCCAGGTACCCTGCTGGGCACAGAGGCACCTGAGACCCCGGTGCTACCCACAGGTCTAGACCAGACTCCGAAAGGCCAGGGAGGATAGCATGTAGCTGTTGACCAGGAAGTCGCGTGGGCCTGAGCCGCCAGGGCACGCCTTTGACTGCTTGCCTGGCTCTGTGCGCCTCACCTGGGCTTGTTCCAAGAATAATTGCAAAGCCTGTGGTAAGGTCAGTACGCCCTTGTCACCAATCTCCTGCCCTTGGTTTACGTTCAAGGCTGAGCATTGAAAATTGTACTCGTGGTAAGAATCCTGAAATCCTTTCTTCCCCACCAAGGAGAGAATAAATCCTGGCTTCGTGTTCCACTTCTCTGGCCGTCTCCCAAAGGTTGGCTCGAAAGTGCCCGTCGGCACGTAGCCATGGGTTGACTCTCAGACACCTGAATCCATGTGTTTCTGTTCCAGGACATGGGAAGAAGGCAAGGTGCTCATCTTCGATGACTCTTTTGAGCACGAGGTGTGGCAGGACGCCGCGTCTTTCCGGCTGATTCTCATCGTGGACGTGTGGCACCCGGAGCTGAGTCCCCAGCAGAGGCACAGCCTGCCTGCGATTTAGCATCTCGTGCAGGCCTGCGACACGCTGGAGACAGGCCACCTTGCTGCTTCCACCTCCCTGGGGGTAGGGACAGGGCTTCCAAGTTGGAAGCCCTTCATTCCTTTGACTCGCAGCCCGAAAAACTCTGAGGCTCCTCTTAGGATTCAAAGACACTAAAAGGACTATTGGCCTTGCTGCAGTTCATGTAGAAAGGACTCTGCTCTACCTGCTGCCATGATGGCACCCATCTGATGCCGCATTTTCCGGTGAATATGGCACAGCCTCCACCTTGTCAGCCAAAGATGCGTTTTCCACTTAGAAGCAGCCTAAATGAGTGTACGATGAGAATATATGCACAAACTGTGAATGGATCGCTTTAGTTTGTAATCTTTCTATGCAATTATATTTTTCTAGGGTAGCCAGGCAATGCTGTCATCCCGCACCACTACTTTTTTGTCGATTTTCATAATAAGCTGTGTAAATGCTTTACTTCCAGCTGTTTAATGGTAACTTTCCTCATGAACCCACACTTCCTTCTTTTAATTGTTTTTAGTGAAAGACACTCATAAAAGAAGCAATTGTATTTTCCTACTACAAAGGAGAGAGATGTAATTATGCTGATGTCTGCGGACCGTAGTGCTTCCTACCAACTGAGTCTGTTTGCCTTTTCACATCATCGTTGAAAGATGGTGTCTTAATTTCTCTCCTCATCGTGCAAATGGTAGTTTCCGAGAGGACCTTTTCACACTGACACAAGACCTGGAATCATTTTATATTGAGTTATAAAAGTGCCACATGTAAATTTCTTTAATGCCAAGAATTAGGACTTGGAAAAGTCACCTATCTCAGAGTAAAACTTTTCTCTCAGGATCAAGTAGATAGAGGCTGCCAGGACCTTGGGCTTCTTGGCGTCCTTGCCATCTGAGAAAGAGAATCCAGAGTAAGAAGGTCCTTACATGGATCCCCACTACACTTTTGTAAAAATGCAGAGGAGGGCAGAGTGGAAGACCCAGAATGCCAGGATCTTAGTCCTGCGTTTAGGATGTCCAGATCACCTTCCTCTTCGAAACAGTTTGGAAGACTCTTCTGTTTCCCTGGCTTGAGAAACTTCTGCCATTTAAATATAGCTTGGAGCAATTGTTGTCCATAGTTTAGCTTTACTATTATGCACAGCATAGAAATAACAGTTGGAAAATGGTTTTGCCTGCTTATCCCAAAGATGATCAAATTACTAATTTAGAAGAGTATTAATGCATTACATGCTGCATAATTCCAATCAAAACTAGAAATGTTAGCTGTATGAATGTAATGATATTCATGTACCTGAATTTTAAGCCAATATGAACGAAAACGTGGAAGAAATGACACAGCAGTTTACCAAATCTCATTCACGGGTAGAAAAAACACTTGTGCTTCCTTTCCAAACTAAGGACAAAGGAGGGTGCTTTATGTCTTTTACAAAGAGTTCTTTAACGTTGAAATGGACCCTTTTTGCTTGACATGAGCTTCCAGTGAGAAGGGTTTTGCAAAATATCTTGTTCCCTTCTGCTTTACCAAAACGATCCCACTAAAATAGATGAAGAAGCACATGAAGAAGGTATCACAATTACCAACAGTTACCAAGAAGAAAAAGCAAACTCTTGAAAAATAAAAAGGTGTTGTGTCCTTCAGTATTTATTGAACAGAAGAAATGACTGACAAAGGACAATACAATCCGATGCTCGTGTAAGAACATTCATGTCACTTACTGATTTTGGTTCTTGTATGTATATTGCATACACATAAAGAAATTGAAAGTATAAGTTGTCAGTGTTAAACCATCATCTTACATTCATTTAATGAAATCATGGAATAGAGTAAAAACTAGCTCTTAACTTAATAATGATAATATGGTATTTAAAATCAGGTCACTACAGTAGGTTCTAAATATTGCCAATTGAAAAGCCAGAGTTCTTGTTACTGTTGCAAAGTGTCAGCAATAATCGACTCTGATAGCATTTTAAACACTTGGATCCCTCAACTATTTTATAAACACAAGTAATAAAATGGATTTTCTAATTCACTTTAATTCTTTATCTTTCTTCCCTATGTCATGGAATATAAGAAAAGTATTTCAGTCACTGCATTGGTAGAATGATTTCAATGTTACTATTTTGTAACTTGAAATGCCTACACAAAATGAATTGGTTTTACTTGCACTGTGACACAATTGGTTGAGAAATATTTTTAATTCTATTTCAACTGTATTTCAAGGGTGGAATACAAAAATTACTTCTCTTATTCTCCTCTACCAGTAGAAAAAAAACTAAAACACTAGATTCATTGAGAAAGAGATGTAATAAATGGTTATGATTAGTAATAATATCAATTGAGGGTGATTATGGCCAGTTGAATCACCTCCTTTCTCTGAACTTTTTAGTTAATCCCCCAACTACTTGAAACATAATATCGTATTTTTCTGCCCATTATCAACTAAAGTATTTTTTATTTGACACTGAGCGCCAGCTGGTCCTACTGATAAATGCCCGTGTCATGCAAATAGCTGGGAAGATAAGAGATAGGTAAAAACATACAACTCGTTTTGGGAAACATGGTACAAGTAAGGATATCGTACCCTTATGATATCTGTTTATATTTTTATTTCATTTCCTTTGAATGGATAGTTGGGGACTCCATTTCTAAAGAGAATAGACAAAGAAATAAAATGATCTTTGGCATTTTATCCCGCAATCCTGATCTTCTCTTATTTTCAGTGTTTGCATATGTAGCCATCTTTAGGGTCTTCCTCCAGGATTGATATCTACTTTCTCAGCAACAGCCAGGTCCCTTCTCCACACCTTTAACTGGCTGCAGGAGGGTTGGGTGAGGGGCCTAAATGCTTTAGTAGCACGTTTCCTTGCTGTAGTGACCCAGGTGAGACAATTTGGATGGATTCATTCATCACTGACATGTGTTTTCAATGAGACCCCACCCCCTCCCCCGCAGATACATGTTGCCTGTGACAAGTCACATTATTAAGATGAAACAATCATATTTCAAGTTGTGTGTGTCTTCCTTTAAAGTCAGATCATGGCAATCTGACTGGTGGCCTGAAAAAAGATGTGACATCAAAATCATTCTTGCAGGATATCCAAATAAGCAAACTCTGCAAATAGCTAGACCTACAAGCACATGCCCTTCGGCTGAGCAATTTGATGCTGGTGATGAGGTCAAAGAAAATAATTCTGTAAGAATGGAAATTACTGGAGATATTACTGTCTTGGGGCTTTGCACTTACATCGAGCTTGACAATTGTGTCTGCGCAGCTTACTTCTGATGTATCTACTTGGAAATGCGCTTAATCTTAAATCACAAAACCTGTAAAGGGTTATCTGCGGTGCCTCGGAAAAATCCTTGTCCTAACAGAGTGTATGCATCAATTTAGTTTTTCTTTTTTCAATTCACTGAATACCACGAATAAGGGGGAAGGGGAATCGTGTTCACACCACTGCCTTGCTTCACCTCCAATCCCCTCACTGGAAAAAAAAAAAAACAACAAAACAAAAGCATCTCTCAAGTCTGTTCACTTTGGCTGCTCAGACCAGTGGCTGGTGACAGTCATTACTTGGTGGCAGGAGTGAAGGGCCTCATGTCAAGTGGAACGCACATGTCTGTGTGGGTCAGTTGCACGTGGCTTCCTGGGTGGCTGATACCACCGAAGGCTGGCAATCTGCGGGGGCCCGGGGTGACCACCGGTTCAGTCCAGAGCCAGGAGTGGCTGAGTGTTCTCATTCTCTCCCTTCTCTTCATGTTTCAGGGTCCCAGCTTCTACCACAGACTGAGATCTAGTAATAAGGGAAGGAGAAAAGTACAATTACAGACAATTCGTGGTGAATTTTGGAGTCTTGGAGGGCATTCAGATTTTCAGTTCCCCTTATTAATCAAAAAACTCAAAATAACAATATAATTCTACCCCCCCCCTTTTATTTTTATCTCTTGCTTGCTTTTTGGCCTTCTACACCACATATTCCTGGGGAGAGGCATCTTAGAAGCGTCTTCGCTAAGATCTCCTCTGTTGGTAAAAGCGACACGTCTGTTCTAGCCGCACCACCAGACATTCCGTGGATCTTGCGATGCATCAAGTCAAATAAATATCGTTGGATTTCATTTAATGTTCCAAAATACCTTTTAGCACCTGTTTCTCAAGGTCATAGGAAACTATCACGCATGATGTGACGACCATGAGGTCTGGAATCAGAACTCTGCCTTTTACTGGCTGCGGAGACTTGGAAGGGTTCTTAAAATTCTCTGGACCTTTATTCTGTCGCGTGTGACACAGAACTATTACCTACTTCCCACCGTTGTTGATAAGGACTAAAGCTAATCATATTTGTAAAGCATGTGACATGTAATTTTAGTCAAAATTTTCAGAGCATTCTACTATCAACATAGTGTGATCATAGTAGTGATCTGTAGTTTCTGATAAGCCATCTCATATCAGATAATAACAGTTCCTTTTTTGGGTTTATGATGTGAACTGAAGTTATTTTCCAGCTCATAGAGAGAAGGTTATAAGAGGTATATGCACAATAAACATTCAATAAATGGACACAGGCTAAAAAAATATATTTAAGGGACTTCTGGGTGGCTCAGTCAGTTAAGTGTCTGACTTCAGCTCAGGTCATAATCTCATGGTTCAGAGTTTTGAGCCCCATGTCGGGCTGTGTGCTGACAGCTCAGAGCCTGGAGCCTGCCTCAGATTCTGTCTCCCTCTCTCTCTGCCACTTCCCCACTGACTCTCACTTTCTCCCTCTCTCTCTCTTGCTCTCTCTCTCAAAAATAAATGAAAACATTAAAAATACTTAAAATATTAAAATGGTTGAATTTGATTGTCCACATAAGCAAAGTTTACATACAACATGCAATAAAATGTTAATTCAGAAGGCCTGAGTTGCCCAAACCTTCCACATTCCAAACCAAAACTTCCGCACTGTCCCTGGACTGGCTCTTCTGAATTCTTGGAGTGTCCTGCCTGATAAAAATGTCTCTGTATGCTTGAGACTGTGGGCCTGGCCGTACAGTTCATGCTAAATATGTGACTTATTGTGACTGCCTCTTTTATACGTCTGGGTTTGGAGCCACCCTGTAGCAGCTTGCCCTTTGGTGGGGGCAGTTAGGGAAGGAGGAATGGAGGGCTACATGTCTGTGTGACTGACCCCTTTCAGCCAATATAAATCCCGGACACCCGGGTCGCCTGGGTGGCTCAGTCAGTTAAGCGACCGACTCTTGACCTCGTCTGGGGTCATGACCTCACAGGTTTGTGGGATCGAGCCCCACGTTGGGCTCTGTGCTGACGGTGTGGAGCCTGCTGAGGACTCTCTCCTTCTCTCTCTCCCCCTCCCCTCCTCACATGCTCGAGCTCTCTCTCAAAATCAGTAAATAAACGTTAAAAAAAAAAAAAAGGAAATCCTGGACACGCAGGTGTGGGTGAGGTCCCTGATTGGCCACACTTGGCGCATGTTGTCACACAGTGCTCAGAGAGTTGAGCCCTGTCGGGACAACCGGAAGCGAGCAGCTGGTCCAGGACTCCTGGACGTCACCCGATGCTCCTTCCTCCCTTGCTGATTTTAATCTGTCCTCCTTTGCTGCAACAAACCACAAGTGAGTGTAACAGCTTCTCTGGGACCTGTGCGCCCTGGAAAATTCCTAAACCCAGGGGTGGTCGGGATGACCCCAGAACAATGTATATTAACACTAATAACTTGTTCTGTATGCACCTGGTATTGTTGTAAGCTCCTCACATGTATTAACTTCCTGCCCGCACCCTGGGGAGTGGTGCTATCGTGATGTCCATTTTATAGATGGGAAAACACCAGGAGGCGGGCGCAAGCAGCGGGGAAAGCACACAGACAGAGGCCAGGTTTGTCACCTGCCCACCACTTCTGGGCTTTACCCTCCAGAGCTGTTTATCTGAACCACTTAGTGTCCCACCCACCTCACCGTAAAAATAACTTTCCGCCTGAGATGCTCACCTCCACTCAGGATAGGTACGGGCCGGAGCAAGTTTAAAGAAATTGAGAAGCAAAATTAGTACAATTATCTCAAAAGAAGAGCTTTTTACTCTAAACCCACTGTGACTCCAGGCACAGCCCCGCTTTCCGTGCCAAGCCGGAGCTTTGAAAGTGAGGTGGACTCATTTGGTCCCGGGACAGGACGGAGGGAGCCAGGCTGGCAGTCTGGCCCCGCTATTGAACACATTTCCTGTGCATTTCCCTCTGCTTTCCCGGAGGGCCTGGGGTGTGTGTGTGTGTGTGTGTGTGTGTGTGTGTGTGTGTGTGCGTGTGTCTGTGTGTGCGTGTGTGTGTGCACACGCGCGGTGGGGGCAATAGATTTAGAGATTTATAGCAAAACTGAGAGCCCAGAAAGCATTGCCATAAGCAAGAAGCCAGGCAGAGGGACCCAGGTGCCTGCACGGGCCACCTCCCTGTGGCACCGCAGGCAGCCGCCTAACTCGCCCCCACTCGTCAGGCCCTGGTGAGAAGGGAGCTCCCGGCCGCGGTCCGGCTTCGGGGGGCCTTGCCCCGCCCGCCCTTCTCCACTTTTCTCATGACCAGGGAGTCGCAACCACAGCGTTGCAAGACCCCGCGGTGAGCCATCGGGATCAGCTCACTAGGAAATAGTCCGTAAGGGGCCGTGCAGCCTCATCCTGAGTCGATCCAGATTGGGAGCCTCACTCCTCCGTGCCCCGGTCGGGCAGCTCTCCCGGGAACGTCTTCACATTGAACTCAAACCTGTCTTTGCAACTTCTATACACCGTTCCTTGCTGTCTGCTGGAGCCACCCGTGTACGTCCGTGTAATCCACCTGGTCCACATAACCACCCCTTTCCTTAAAGGTTATTTACTAATTTTGAGAGACAGAGAGAGAGCACACATGCGCTCAAGGAGGAGAGGGGCAGAGAGAGAGAGAGAGAGAGAGAGAGAGAGAGAATCCCAAGCAGGCTCCGCACTACCACCGCGGAGCTCCAGGCAGGGCTCAAACCCACCACCCCTGAGATGGTGACCTGAGCTGAAACCAAGAGTCA